CTCGTCTGACTCAGCTTCCCGGCGCATGAGGAGGAGCTGCGTTAGCAACACCAGGACTCTGCACACCTCCTCCCATGGGCTGGACAAGCACTCACCCCACCGCACGCGTGAGCCAGCAGCGACCCTGACCACACACACACACACACACACACCAATCTTGCTGTACCCGGCACTTTGTCTACATGGGCAAAATTCTTCTTTTACTATGAGTAAGTCACCATTAAAAACGCTAAGGCCTTCCGCCGAGTTACTACCTTGTATAGATACATCCAATTCCACGCCAAGCTGACAAGAAAGCTGATGATGAAGACCCGCCTCAGCTGCGTGTACCAGCGCACGTAGGTCCACAGCTCGGTGGCCACTAACATCATCAAGCAGAGGAGACACAACAGCACCTGGGGACAGAGAGCGGCACAGGTCCAGGGCCCCGCCTGCGCTGTGCTCCCCAAGGAAGTGCTCACGGTCCCCAAAGACAGAAGATCTTGGGCATGTTCTTAACATAATGTGAGGGGGGAGTTGTTGACTGAATTTTTAAAGGGAAGCAGCATAATATCCCCTCAGCCCATCCTACCATGAACATATTATATGGATCCACTCCAAAGGCATCTTCAAATCGCCACTTCCATGTTTCAAAATTGTGAAGCTTAAAGTTAATTAAGATATCACTTAGTGCATCGTCCAAGGCTCCAGACTTCCAGTCTTCTCCACTGAGAAACTTCTGTATTTCCAGCAAGGTCTGTCTCTTCAGGATAATCTCGGCATCATAATGCCTATCACCTTCATTCTCATCGGGCTTGCCAAAAACAAGCAAGTGAGAGAGAATTTTATTGTTACGTTACTTAGTGAAGCCCTCTAGATGAAGGTCATGTGGAACTAAACAGATTCATTTGTAAATCTTCATCCATGTGCAATAGAAGTGCACCCACTCCTCAGTTATCCAGTTATGTTCCAAAGACCAAGCTGTCACACAACCATGGAGGCTGGCTACATTATTGCCTAATCACATCGTGGTTAAACCACGGACGCCCATGGCCCAGTCAATTTGACACAGCACAGCCAGTGTTGTTCTCGTTCACGCCTCAGCACCAGACGCACGGTGGCTGTTAATGTGCACCGCTCTGATTTATTTTTCACTAGGGGTGTCAATGCACACTTTCAGACACGAGAGTGAGGAGTAGATGTACTAATATCCAGTTGGATGTCTCAGAGACGAACATAAAAACCAAAGAAAATACATATGAAAAGCACT